TGTCTGGGTGTAGTTTTATTTTGGTTATGACTATTTGGAGTTCTATATGCTTCACTGATCCTGATGTCAGTTTCTGATCTCATGCTTGGGAAGTTTTCAGCTATTGCTTCTCTAAATATCCTCTTGATATCCTTTATGTTGTCTCCTTCTTTTTCATTAATCCCTATCATTCTTATGTTATTCTTCTTTGCATCATCTTGCAGTTGTTGAATTGTTGTTTCCTGATTCCTTGTTATTTTTAAAAGATCTTTCCTTTCCTGTTCACTAGCTGCAATCCTGTCTTCAAGGTCTGAAATTCTATCTTCACTTTCATTAAGGCGGTTTTTACAACTTTCAGTGGAGTTTTTTATTTCCTGTATATCTCTGTGCATCTGCATTATGTATTCTGTTTGTTTCTTATATTGCTCGTCTAGGGATTCTATCTTTTTGTTTAATTCCTCCAATTTTTTATCTGTGTTTTCTTTAGATATATTTAGAATCTCTTTCATTTCTTTTATCATTTCTTCTTTTATCTGGGAAATTATTTCGAGTTTGAATTTCTTTAAAGCTTCCTGGAGTTGCTTGTCAACTTCAGTAGCTATTGTGTCTAATATATGAGGAGGATGAGATATATTTTCTTCTAAATACACTTCTCCTAGGGTTTCCTGAGATGGGCTGGAGGTTTGAGGTTGTAATTTGGTCTTTCGTTTTGTCATTTTCCTATATTTCTGTGTTTCAAGTGTTATTTGAAAGCCTCCTCAGGATCTGTTGAAAATCCCCTTCTATGTTTGCAGCTACTGAGACTCTGGCACCACTCTACCCCAGGCCATTGGGCCTGCAGAACCAATGGCCCTTCTCTGCTTGTTCAGAACTCCGCGGTTCCAGACAAGCTGGGCCTCAGGGACACCGTGAGCCCACCTGCCCCTTGGTAGATCCACAGCTCTTGGATCGCAGCCGGGTTAGGGTACTCACCACAGACCGCAGTGCCTCAGGAGCCTGTGATCCCTCCCTGCTTGCAGAGATATCCACAAACCTCCAGACAAAGGAAGGGCCTCCTGCGGGCACTCCGGATCTACCCCGCTCCTCCTCTGCACGCAGATGGCTATGCGTGGCTGGGCTCAGGCCGAGGTGCCTCAGGAACCCGGGACCCCTCCTCCTCCAGACAAAGGAAGGGGCCTCTGCAGGCGGCTCCGGATCCGCGCAGCTCCTCCTCCGCACACCGATGGCCAGGCGCGGCTGGGCACAGGCCGAGGTTCCTCAGGAACCCGGGACCCCTCCTCCTCCAGACAAAGGAAGGGGCCTCTGCAGGCGGCTCCGGATTGATCCGCGCAGCTCCTCCTGCGCAGCTCCTCCTCCGCACACCGACGGCCAGGCGCGGCTGGGTACGGGCGAGGTGCCCCAGGAACCCGGGACCCCTCCTCCTCCAGACAAAGGAAGGGGCCTCTGCAGGCGGCTCCGGATCCGCGCAGCTCCTCCTCCGCACACCGACGGCCAGGTGCGGCTGGGTACGGGCTGAGGTGCCCCAGGAACCCGGGACCCCTCCTCCTCCAGACAAAGGACGGGGCCTCTGCAGGCGGCTCCGGATCCGCGCAGCTCCTCCTCCGCACACCGACGGCCAGGCGCGGCTGGGTACAGGCCGAGGTGCCCCAGGAACCAGGGACCCCTCCTCCTCCAGACAAAGGAAGGGGCCTCTGCAGGCAGCTCCGGATCCGCGCAGCTCCTCCTCCGCACACCGACGGCCAGGCGCGGCTGGGTACAGGCCGAGGTGCCCCAGGAACCCGGGACCCCTCCTCCTCCAGACAAAGGAAGGGGCCTCTGCAGGCTCTCCGGATCCGCGCAGCTCCTCCTCCGCACACCGACGGCCAGGCGCGGCTGGGTATGGGCCGAGGTGCCCCAGGAACCCGGGACCCCTCCTCCTCCAGACAAAGGACGGGGCCTCTGCAGGCGGCTCCGGATCCGCGCAGCTCCTCCTCCGCACACCGACGGCCAGGCGCGGCTGGGTACAGGCCGAGGTGCCCCAGGAACCCGGGACCCCTCCTCCTCCAGACAAAGGACGGGGCCTCTGCAGGCGGCTCCGGATCCGCGCAGCTCCTCCTCCGCACACAGACGGCCAGGCGCGGCTGGGTACGGGCCGAGGTGCCCCAGGAACCCGGGACCCCTCCTCCTCCAGACAAAGGACCGGGCCTCTGCAGGCGGCTCCGGGTCCGCGCAGCTCCTCCTCCGCTCACCGAAGGCCAGGCGCGGCTGGGTACGGGCCGAGGTGCCCCAGGAACCCGGGACCCCTCCTCCTCCAGACAAAGGACGGGGCCTCTGCAGGCGGCTCCGGATCCGCGCAGCTCCTCCTCCGCACACCAACGGCCAGGCGCGGCTGGGTACGGGCCGAGGTGCCCCAGGAACCCGGGACCCCTCCTCCGTTTATCTCTATTTATGGCTAACATTCCATTATATTAAAAATACATATTTTTATCTGTTCATTAGTTGACGGGCATTTAGGCTGTTTCCATGATTTAGCTACTACAAACTGTGCAGTCGTAAACATGGGTGTGCATATATTGCTGCGGTATGGTACTTCTAATTCTTCCAGAAAGATATCATTAAGATGAATAACTGGATCAAAAGGAACCTCTAATCCTAATTTTTGTAGTATCTGATTTCCACAGTACTTGCACCAGTCTATACTCCCACTAACACTGGAAAAGTATTCCTTTTGCCCTGCATCTCCATCATCTTTTATTAGCTGTTTTCTTGATACTAGCCATTCTTTCTGGAGTAAGATGGAATGTCAGCCTTTTAATTTGCACCTCTGGAATGACCAGTGACGTTGAAAATTTATTTATTAATTTGTTTCCTTACTTGTTTATTTATGTACTTCTAAGAAGTGGCTGTGCGTTTCATATGTCCATTTTTGTTTTGCGTCTAAATTTGGAGAGTCTGACTTTTTTCAGTTTTTTTTATATGTTTTAGATATTAGTCCTTTGTCTGAAGAACAGCTGGCAAAAAGGTTTTGAATTGTCTTTTGACTTTGTTCATGATACCTTTTGCTGTGGAAAAGTTTTGAATAAAATGAAGTCCCAGTTGCTGGTTCTTCATGAAAATTCCTGTGTGATAGGGATTTTATTCATAAAGTGTTTGCCTAGACCATTATCTTCCAGAGAAGATTATACACTATAACCAATGGCTCTACATTTGTAAATCAATAAATGTAATACACCATATCGTAGACCCAAGACAAAAATTACATGATTATCTTAATAAATACAGGGAAAAAAACTGACAAATTCCAACACCCATTCATTGTAAAAACTCTAAAGAAAATTGAATAGGTGGTCTTTATCTCAATCTGATAAAAGCCATCTCTGACTCAGCCACCAGTATCATATTAAATGGTCAAAAATTGAAAGCTTTCACTCTACAATCAGGAACAAGGCAAGAATGTTTGCAATCACCACTCCTATTCACATAGTTCTGGAAACAGTAGGAGAAATTGGACAAGAGAAAGAAATAAAGATAGGAAAGAGAGAAGGTAAATTATGATTATTTGCAGATGACATGATATTTATATGGATGATCCCAAAAACTCCACCAAAAGACTTGTAGATTTAATAACCAAATTCAATAGTGTAACTGGATACAAAGACAGCATTCAAAAAGCAATAGCGTTCCTATACATGAATAACAAACCCACTGAGAGAGAAATTAAGGAAGTAACACCCTTCACAATAGCAGCAAAGAAATGAAATCTCTAGAAACCAATGTAACAAAGTCATTGAAATATACCTACATGAAAATCTATAGTACTCTGAAAAACGAGAATGAAAGAATATCAGAAAATGAGAAAATATATGAGAAAGAATATCAGAAAATGGAAAGATATTCCTTGTTCAAGGATAGGAAGAGCAAACATTGTGAAAATGGTCAAACTTCCAAAACTGTTACCAAGATTTAATGCAATCCCAATCAAAATACCATTAGCATACCTCACAAAATGAGAGAAAACAATCCTGAAATTCATTTGAAACCAAGAAAGACTAGAATACTAAAAGCAATTTTGGACAGGAAGAGGCAAGTCAGGGGGCATCACAATACCTACCTTAAAGTTATACTATGGAGCTACTAAAAGCAGGATGAGCCGGGCAAAAACAAAAAACAAAAAAACCCACCTTTGAAACAGTTTAGAAGATGCAGAATCAACTCCAAACACGCTCAGCCACATGATTTTTGATAAAGGACCAAACACAATCACTGAAAGAAAACCTCTTTAATCAATGGTGCTAGAAAAACAGAAAAACTAGCTTTCTACGTACAATCTAGACTATTATATGCCTTAACGTAGATGTATTTTAGTCATGGCTAATTAGAATTCTACATGTCGCACTTATCTATATGTCAAATTCTTAAATTCAATAATCTTCAAAAAATAAATATATCTGCAGAGTAACAACTATAAAATGATCCACCTTTCCTCCAATTTTATTTAGATGGTTCCATCCAGAATTAACTGAAGATTGTTTCTCCGATTATCCATCCCATTTGGCTTGTTAAGACATAGTTTTAGTGAAAGAATGTTATAAAATGCTTTTTTTTTTTTTTGCTGAAAGTAAATTACATGATAAGAATTATGCTTATTCATAGACCTAGATTTTAATCACTTTGATTTATAACACTTGCTTAATGTCAGGTAATTCTGTAAATCAAACCAAAGAGATTTTCTGATCACCGGTGTTAGTTTCATACAATGTTTACTAGAGGATGGTGAGTTTTGTTTAATGAGATCTGGCGTAAAACCTCAGGCTTAACTGAAGCAAACACAGCCTTTTAGAAAAAAGAAGAAAAAAAGTTTTGTAGCTCTCACAAAATTAGATTTAGAAGCTGGACAGAACTAGGAGCTTTAGAAGGCCAAGGAAAGGCCAAATTTAAGGGAGATATAGGTATTTCATTTAATAATGTTTGCATAAAACCCAAGTAAAAATAAAAAGAAGAAAGGGGCTGTTAATGTAATGCTTTTAAATTAATTCACTTACCGCTGATCTGCATATGTTTGTACTGCTTGCCAATCCACTGCAAAGGCCAAATGGCTTAAGGTAAACAGGACTGGGAGGTTGCTGGCTCAGGAATTCAAGGATTAACTGGCTTTATCCTCCCTTTAGTTGGGTCCCTGTGCTCACTGCCTCAGAGAACATGGTTACTTTATACAAACTTGTTTGTAATGCAAACAGAACTTTGTACTGGACTTCATGCAATGGCTTTGTAGATAGAGCAGCCTGACTTTCCAAGTTGGTAGGACTGAGTTGACTTCTAATATAGCGGCATAAATAGCTGAGAGAACATTAGTTATGAATCATGTGAGCATCAGTTACCGCAAAATGGAATAAATGAAAATGGAATAAAAACACCTGCAAAGATATGGTATAAAAAGAATATATATGATGGCTCTGAGATTCATCATCCAAACCAAGAGATCTGAAAATGAAATGGATCTTATTCACAATCATGCCAGGAAAATAGTAGTGAAATAAGTCTGTAGTGGGTTAGCCAGGAGTGTGATATAATGCAATATCTGTATATTATATGCTAAATAAAAATATATAACACAAAATACATGCCATAATAAACAGAAAGTGGCATGTTGTCTTATCTGGTATTGATCACCCAGTATTTTGGGATATTTAGAATTTATGAACCACTTTCACATATATTATGGCCTTTTGATAACCACAATATTCTTAATAAGGAATATTTGTCTTTCATTTTATAAGTAAGGGTGCTAGGAATCAGAACTTTGCTATCTTGTTTGGGGCTAAGAGGAAAGGAACAGAGGAGGGATTTAAATGCAGTTCTTATCATTCTAAGCTTAAATCTTTGTTTTTCTCTGTTCCCAAAATTTCTCCCAGACAGCTTATAACCATATTTTCTATGCAGCTTTGTGTTCATATAGTTTGGTGTAAATTTCTTTATCAACCACCATGGGCAAAGAAGGTTATTAATTTTATTTTTCTCTAAAACAACAATATTTTCCTCAAATTTTATTATGTCTTCTGATATGAAAATTAAAGTAGGATCTGCCACTGCCTATTTTTTCCTGATGTAAAATCTAAGCTCTAAGGGCTCGCACTTAGCATAAGAAGGTATTCATCTTTTGGTCAAGCACACTGACCCTTGGTGTTGTCGTACACTATAGACCCTGAGCTATTCTGCTTTTGAAATCCTCTTGTCCATGTATATGACATAGGACTAGCTGTCGTCATGCCTCTGCACACTTGTGACACTCTCTGAGCCACAGAGACAGCATTTGGGTGTACCTTGGCCAAGTCTGGAGAGTGACAGGTGACCCTGTTTGAAACCTATCTGCCTAACCATCATATGTGCTGTCCCTCTGTTCTTCCTTAGCCAAAGAGGTTTGGTGAGGGTCTCTCAGAACAAGCTGTGGAGAGATGTATTAATCAGCTTTCCTATTGCTGGAAAAAATATCTGACATCTGCAGGTTGAAGGAGAACAGATTCATTTGTTTCACGGTTTGAGAGGCTTGGGTCTGTGGTTGACTGAATCCAAGGCAGGAACATGATAGAGCAAAGCCATTTGGTTTATGACAGCAGAAAAGCAGAGCAGAGACGTATTGCAGAGAGAAAGGGGACAGGGACCAGACACAGACCTCAAGGTCACACATGTGGGACCACCTGGACATATCCAAGTGTGTTTTACTGATCCCCTAGAAAGCTCCCCAGCTAGTCCAGTTGACAAATAAGCTTAACAATCACAAAGATCTCTCTTTATTCCAAGCCTGCCAAACCCAGCTTCTTTCCAGTGCCACCTCACTGGGTCAGCCTCAGGAGTAGGGGATACAGGGCCACATCAAAATTTCTTTCACATTCTCTTTTCCTGTTCTCTCTTACTCATCAAGAAAGAGTGTTTATCTATGGATAGGGTTATTTGTGGGCAGGAGAAGCAGAGGACTTCAGCTAGAATCTAATTGCTAGAGCTAAGTCTTTGGTAACTGAAATTCAACAATAAAAGTATTTGGTTTCTCTTTGCATTTGTAATCTGGTTTATCTTCATGAGAGGAGAGTGGAGGTCAAGGTCATGTGAAGAGGAATGGGGAAAAACATGAAATTTTCAGCTAAAAACCAGTAAAGAAAGGGTTCACCACATTATCTAGCACTCTCATTTTTCAACTTTGAGTCTTTTTTTTTCTAGTTTTATTCTATGACACTGAGCATTTAAACTGTTACACTACTGAGTGACAGCTGGATATATCATTACATTTGTGTGAGTCACACTTTTATCTTTGAACAAAATGATGACTGATAAATGTTTAAAATGGGCACATTGACATGAATTCTCTGTGACTCAGAGCCATTTGGTAACAGTTTGAAAGCCTGGATTCACTCTCACCATTTCTTCTCCTCCATATCCCCTTAAGCCCAGTCTAATTAAACCGTCATGTCACCCATCACCAATGATTGCACATAATAAATCCAACTCTCAGTCTTTGTTTAATTTGCAGCATTTCAAAGAGCTAATCAGCCCCTTGTCCACAGAAAGCTTCCTAGGGACAGCTTCCAGGATCCTAAACCCTCCTGGATTTCCTCCTCTTGCACTTTGCCAGTCATAGCCACTGATTTTTGCCTCATCAAGCTCAACCGTCAAAAGCGGTGACTCAAAGTCCAGAGAGTTTCTATATCTAAACTATCTCCAGGTAACTGCATCCAGATTAATGGCTTTAAATCCCATCTTCCTCTTAACTGATTTACAGATTCACACCTATAACCTAATCTCCCTCCTAAACTCCAGATTCCTGGATCTTATGTCTCTCAGTGTCTCCACTGCATGTGTGAAAGACAGCAGCAATTTACCTTGTTTAAAAGTGGATTCTGGTCTTTTCTCTAACTCCTGCTCTATCGCTGATATTTTCCCACTTCAGGAAATTGCATTTCCTCATTCCAGTATCGTAGGTCATAAACCTTGGATTTGTCTTCACTTTTGTTTTCACACACTGCAGCCAGCTTAAAACCAAAGCTATTGCTTCATACTGTTCTTTCCTAGTCCAAGTTGCCATGATTTTAATGATTGCAATAACCTCCTAACTGCTTTCCTTGCATCTTCTCTTGATCTATCCACGACAGTGTACCACCTACGGGAAAAAGAACAAAACAAAAAAAATCACATCGCTTCCTTTCTCATACTGGGCAGGTGTCTCTCTACTTCAGATCAACATCCTTACACTCACATACTTTGCATGACCTCCTTCTCAAGCTTTCCTCTGCTACTTCTTCTCCTTCCACTCTACTCTAGTTCTATTTCAGCCAGTTACTTAAATGTGTCAAACAAACATCTCAGTACCATACACATAGATGTTACTAGTAAGATTTGTGGCATAAATGAGTGAATAAAAGAAGCAGTGATACTGAAGTTCAGTACTTACACAAACTCAAATATAATATATTAACAAACAATGCAACTGATCCACAATATTTTCCCTTTGCTGTAATATTTTCATGGAAAGGAGCCATTAATGCTGAATTTGTCATTAGTGTCCTTAGGAAAAATCCTGGTCTTTAGTCAAGCATTTGTAGTAGGTACCAACATCACCTACATTAGCACACCTGCCTCCAAAGCCCCTAGCAGAGCTTCAGACAGCTTATACGAAAGGAAATTTTTGAGCCAATCCCTTAGAGATGAGAGAAGACATCTATCCCATCATGTGTGTATGTGAATATGCCCTTAGGTATAGCTTGCTTTTCAACCTCATGTATCAAGAATGTGTTCACAACAATTAGAGAATGACTGGTTTAAGTTTTGTGCTTTTGCAAATATATGTATCAGGGCCTGTGGCAATTTTTGAAAAATGAGAATATTACAGATAACAATATAGTCAGACAGTATATTTTAAAAGTTCTTGTAAATTTTATAGATCATTTACCTAAACATTCTAATATGAAAGACTGGTATTATAACATTTTATTTGCTCTCACAAACCTCCCCTTTCTTCTCTTTCCCTAAAGATTCAAAATAGAATTATCCAGAAAAAGCCTTGAAAAAAACAAAAGTTTGAAAAAGAGATTATAATTCACCATCAAGTAATCCAGAATTGATGTTCAAATCATACCACATTAGTCTTACCAATTATATATTTATATTAAGATGATAAATATTATAAGCTTACCTATGATTTCATGAGCTTTTAAAATTAATTCATCTCCAAACAAAGATAGTAACACAAATTATTAAGTAAAATATTCTTATAAAATAAGAAAAATACTGTTCTTTCTTTTTTTTTTTTTTTTTTTTTTTTGGTCTTTTTCGTTTTTTATCGGTACCAGGGATCGAACTCACGACTACCTGCTTGCAAGGCAGGCGCTTATGCCGCTGAGCTAAATACCCAGCCCCGAAAATACTGTTCTTTCAAGGAATTTCTAGCCATTAGATATTTGGTTTTGTTTGGTAATTTTCTCTCAAAGAAATTTGCTCTTCAGTTTCTTCCAGGAGGATTTTTTTTTTTTTTTGTCTTTTTCCTTTTTATCGGTACCGGGGATTGAACTCATGACTGCCTGCTTGCAAGGCAGGTGCTTATGCCGCTGAGCTAAATCCCCAGCCCCCAGGAGGATATTCTTGTGTCATTTTTATCGAAAGGAAAATAAAAGTAGCAAACTGAATCTAAAGTGGAATCTTCTAATTTTAAAAGCATAATGACTCTGTGACTATAAAGGCTAAAAGATAATACATGTAAGTTTATGAATCTATGAAATAATTATAATGTATTTATTAGTAGAGTATAATCATAAACTTGTCTCTCATCATCTGAAAAGTAAGTGAATACATGAAAAACTTAGGAATAAACTAAGCAATGAATTACCATGGTTATCTTTACAAAGAAAAAAAACTAAATTAGCTGAAAAATCAATCCCTTCTCTTGGGCCAATCAAAAGCTTAATTTTCTGAACAATCCACCACAATCTGAAATCTGAATAGAGACAAAAACCAGGAAAAATCATAGTCAAGATTTGCTTACATAGGCATTAACTGATGAAACTATGAACTGTCTTCTACTTTAAAAGGGCAACATTCAAGAATCAACAAGTCATAGAAACAAGATATATAAACATCGAAAAAGTCAAAAGGATATGCAATAAGTAAGAAAAAACATTCCTATGACCAAAGTGG